ATTTGACCGAGAGAGACACAGCGAGAGAGGGAACACAAGCAGGGGAAGTGGGAGAGGGAGAAGCAGGCTCCCCGCAGAGCAGGGAGCCCGATGTGGGGCTCGATCCCAGGATCCCGGGATCATGACCTGAGCCGAAGGCAGACACTTAACGACTGAGCACCCAGGCGCCCCAAAAGCTTTTTATCTTGATGAAGTCCCAATAGTTCATTTTTGCCCTTGCTTCCCTTTCTTTTTAATACCATCATAATTTTTAGTTTTATTGAATGGTCAGATGTTTTCTTTTCACTGTCCGCTTTGGAAGTTATTGAGAGATTGTTTAAAGACCATTGCATATTTTCTCTGAATTTTGTTACATAAAATGTTATTGTTTCAGTCTGCTCTGTCTTTTCATTTTTAAATATTCTTGATCATTTGTAGGTTAAAAAATGTATGTTACAGGGGTGCCTGGGTAGCTCAGTGGTTAAGTGTTTGCCTTCGGCTCAGGTCATGATCCCAGGATCCTGGGATCGAGCCCCGCATTGGGCTCCCTGCTCAGTGGGAAGCCTGCTTCTCCCACACCCACTCCCCCTGCTTGTGTTCCCTCTCTCACTGTTTCTCTCTGTCAAATAAATAAATAAAATCTTTAAAAAAAAAAATGTATGTTACATTCTTCCATTGTAATTGTTTGGTACTTTCTTTTTGTAATTTGAATGGGTAGAGATGCTCTTATGCAGTGTATCTGGGTTGGTTTTGTTGTAACTTTGGATTTTACTTGTTAGAGTTATAAAATAATTTTTGTAATTCAGTTCACCCTGAGTCCTTGTTTTTCTTTTTAAACATTGTTATTTATATATTTGACAGAGAGAGAGAGAGAGCACAAGCAGGGGGAGCAGTAGAGGGAGAGGGAGAAGCAGGCTCCCCCCGACACAGAGCTCCATCCCAGGACTCTGGGATCATGACCTGAGCTGAAGGCAGATGCTTAACTGACTAAGCCACCCAGGCACCCCTGAGTCCTTGTTTTTCAACAGAGGAGTTTAAATTGATTTACCTGACTTGATACAAGGCTTTTTTGAGAACTGTGTTCTTGTAAATACTGTTGAATAGTATTATTTGGCACCACAGTGCATAGTGGGGGAAACCTCTCTAGGTTTAAAAATACATGTGGTCCTATTGAAATTGGCTAGGTTATACCTCATTACTGTGCAGAAAGAAGTTGGTTTCTTTTTAGAAGTGTATCATCTGATTTTATGTAGACCTTATTTTTGTATACTCAACTTCTAGTCAGCTGATAATTTTATTCAGCATATACTATACTTATAGATTGCCATTTATCTAATTCAGTCTTTAATGAAAAAGTGGTACTGTTTATCAGCTATTTTTACCTGGGAAAAGGACTAGATGTCAGTGAAAGTTGCTGGGAGTGTTCACTGGCCAATTCCTCCTGGAGACACATCTGACCTCCTTAGCTAAAGTGTCTTCCTCTCAGCCTCAGTGTGTCAAGTTGGCAGGCTGAATGACAGCCCATGTGGGATTCCTGTGAACAGCTGAAATGGCCTAAATTTTGCTCACTCACATAGGACCATCCTTCATCTCTTAGGTCCCAGCTCTCTGTGTTAAACTCCCTTAGGTATACTTACTTACAGCAGAAACGAAAGACAGACCTCTTTTTACACTCTTGTTACAAGTCAGTTGAATATTGGTGAGGAAGTTTTAAGACCAAGGTATCGTAGGCTGTGTCCTGGCGGCTGACCTCAGGGCCTGTGAAGATTCTTCCTATCGTGTAGGGTGTTTGAGCCTAAGGAAGACTGGGCTTTTGTGAGATCCTGCTGGGACTCTTTTCATGTCCTTGTTGTTTATGTTTTCATGTTTGTAAAAATTAGATTACTGTCAGAAAAAATGAATTCATGTTTAGAAGTAAAGCAGGTTAGATAGTAAACCCAATCTTGACTTCTGAAGATCATTGTAAAATTCATTTCTGTAAAGCACTTTAAGGTTTTTGCTTCATTTTGTTTATTTTCTCTATACTAAGACTTGCTACATTTGTGATGAACAAGGAAGAGAAAGCAAAGCAGCTACTGGTGCTTGCATGACCTGTAATAAACATGGATGTCGACAGGCTTTCCATGTGACATGGTAAGTATCTTTCTATCATTGTATAGAACTGAAATTCTTGTACTTTGTACAAAGGAATACCTTGTAAGTTAAAGGTTTAGGTATCCAAATATTTACAGTAAATTTTATTGAGATAGTTTCTATGTTTAGATTTTCTTATTTATAATAAAGATGATTCTAATAATTGAATTTATCAGAGTGAATTTTGAATAGGTGAACTCTGGTTCTCATGTTTTATTTAGTTGCACTTTGTTTAAAATATTGGTGTTGGTTACCTAACTTTTGGTTTGTTGTTAGGACTGGAAGAGCTGATGTAGGTAAACTTAGTGTAGTGCCTGAAGTATTAATAAGGATTTAATGAATGATTGTTTTTCTTTACTTTGTGTTTGAAGAGGGGAAAAAGCAATCACCATCATATTCACAGTACAGTAGTGGCTACTTCCTAAAAAGTTACTTACTTTCCTTGGCATAAAATTTCAAGGGCAAAGATTATCCTAAAATAAAATATTCAGCATAATAGACAACAGTTCAAAATTAGAGTTTGGGAATAATCCATGTACTTGTTACTTTTAAGAAATAGTCTGTATCTAGCAGCCAGTATAGGCATATGCTTTATTTCCTGAGCTTTTAGTGTATGGATTTAAGAAGTCCATTTTAGATTACTTTTGGGGAATGGAAAAGATTTTTGGTTTTATAAATTCTGTTAATAACTTAATTTTTCAAAGATGAAAGTTCTTTTTTGGGTACAGATATATACTAATACTATTGTAATTTTGAAATGTTAAAAGTGGCAGTTGTGCTGATGACAGATTGACAAGATGATGATCGTAAACTTCAGCGCTTTGTGTTTTTTTGAAAAAATGAATATCATAACTTTAGGTTTTAATTCTCTTTCTTCCATTGGTTTTGACTGGAAAACACAGAAACATTTTCCTTGTAACAGAATGTAATCTGCATCTATGGGCACATCCCATCACAAGTCATTTCACCCTTTTAGAGGACTGGCCTTACTATTTGTACCTGTGATACAGATTGAAGAAGTAAAATGAAATGTTAATTATGGGGTGAGGGGTATCTTAAAGCAATTTAATGTCTATTTGGTGACATAAAACATTTATAAGTCTTCATCCTTATTAGAGATGGATGGACCAAAAGTTTATTATAAACTACAAATATAACTTTAGAAAATACCAATCAAAGGTTGAGGTGAAATGTACTTGGTCACATTGAGAATAAAGCCTTTCATTTTCCCCTTTTCTCTTAGGAGATGTTAAGGTTTAATTACAAATCTTACATGCTTGGAAGTGATTTTTTTTTTTTTAAAGATTTTATTTATTTATTTGACAGAGAGAGACACAGTGAGAGAGGGAACACAAGCAGGGGGAGGGGGAGAGGGAGAAGCAGGCTCCCCGCAGAGCAGGGAGCCCAGTGTGGGACTCGATCCCGGGACTCCAGGATCATGACCTGAGCCGAAGGCAGTCGCTTAACCGACTGAGCCACCCAGGCGCCCTGCTTGGAAGTGATTTTAATTTATATATACTGTAGTTTGAAGTTTAGTATGTGTGTATATGTATTGTATATATATTTTTTGGCTTTTATTTTCAGTGCTCAGTTTGCTGGACTACTTTGTGAAGAAGAAGGTAATGGTGCAGATAATGTCCAATACTGTGGCTACTGTAAATACCATTTTAGTAAGCTGGTAAGAATTTATCTTGAATTTAACATTAAAATGATAACAGATAGTTTTAACAACAGAGTTGACTCTTTTATAATAAAGGCATAATAGCTATTCCCTTTCTCTTGATTTTTGCATGGGATTGTTTGCTTCGAATGTTCTTTACTAGGAATTAAAAGATCGAGTAAATTTTAAAGATTTAATTTCTGTTAATAGTAAATAGGATACATTAGTAGAAGAAGCACGTGAGTACTTTATAATCTAACACTATTTTCATTTAATTTCATTTTTTGAAATGATTATACATTGTGATTTTCTATCACTTGTTTCTCATCTTTTTGCTAATTACTCTTTATTTTCATTTTTATTTACTAGGAGATAGTAAAACTAAAAGCTGTTTTGTAACTTCTTAGTTGACTATCTTGAGAAAAATGTATTTAAATACAACTTTGGGAATATTTTAGATTTTGCCAATCTTTACTGTTACAGTCACATGGATGTTTGAGTTGGTAAAATTTGATTAGCTGTTACATATATTGTGTCCGTGTTCCTTTGAAGGATCAATATTTAATGTCCTAAGTGTCTATTTTTTTAGTCTTTACTGATAACAGTTAGATGTATACACTGAAAGTGTAAGTCTTCTTTGTTTTTCTTTAGTGTCTTTTTTTTTTCTTAATACCTTTCCCCTGTGAGTGCAACTATTTTTTTCTTCCTTTCTTTTAAAGAAACAGTATCATTAGGGTCCCCTTTCTCATGAAATCAGCTCATGACTATTCTGGTTCATGCATATTAAAATACTTAAGGTTATGTAAATATGTTGTTTGATAATGAAGACTTTTATTTTAAGGGCTGACAAAGAATATTGAAGTGCTTTAAGAGAAATTTTGAGATAGTAAAATTGAAAATTTTGCTTCCGAGATGTGAAAAGCGTATTGGAATCTTAATTTTCTAAATAGAAGATGATGTAGAAAAAAATCTAGAAATAATGAAGATGGATTTTGAGTTTGTGTAAACAGGATTTTCTCATTGCTAATTATTGACATGTTGTTATCCCATTTGCTAGTTAGAGAGGAGAAGTCTTTAATAATTTAATAAGATTGTATAACCTCTACATTTGCATGTAATTTGAATACCTTTCATAGTCATTTTTATCTAATTTGAACTAGTTATGGTACCACTAAGTTTTAAACACCTCAAATAACTCTTGCTGTCATACTTTATTATGAAATTGTTTAAGTATTTTAAATAGAAATGTGCAGTACTTTTAGTAATGCTTTGAAAAATGCATGGGTCTAATGCTGACATTTCCTTTAATTTTTTTCTTAATGAACTGCAGAGACAAATTTTTAGAAAACCATGCCTTAACACTGAAAATACGAGATTAAAAGGCTTCTTGCTTTTCCTAGTGTGGCAAAAAGTAACTCTTCAAATATTTTCTTTTCTTCTAGTCTTGGCATCCTTCCTCAGTATGGCATTCTCTATTTTGGTTGAAACTCCTTTTCTTTTTTAAAGAAGACATTGAAAATTATAGTTGATTTCTTCAAGAGGTGGTTTTGTGACAGATAAGCTACTGCTTATTTGAAATTATAGTCTATTTTCACACATTTTAATTAATGTACAAAAATATGGCATTAATGTTCAATTTAGGTTTAGATTTTCTTTTATAATGAATGTAATAGACAATATATATGAATGGTGTCTAAACTGGATTATATAGTTTGAAATAGTGGGAATTTTTTTTTACTTCAGTAGACATTTTTAAATACTACACACTTGAATTGGTTAAGCCTAACAAAAAGATTATTTAAAATTTTTTATATACATATACATCTATGTATATATATTTTCTTTTTTAGAAAAAGAGCAAACGGGGATCTAATAGGTCATATGATCAAAGTTTAAGTGATTCTTCCTCTCACTCTCAGGATAAACATCATGAGAAAGAGAAAAAAGTAAGTGGATTTGTTGTTGCTATATATGTAGCACATCTACTTAATAGATTTTTTTTCCTTTTTTAGATAAAATTAAGTTCTTGATAGCTGGATGGAGACATTGAAATACTGAAAATTTTTGACTGAGAGTATAAAGTCAAAGAATAGGTTTAAAATAATGCCATATTTGTGAATATGTTTGTATGGCAGAACCTACTTCAGCTGAAAATTTGAAATACAAATTGAAAGCATGAGAGAGATTTCTTGCATGTGTTGTTGCTGTGGTCATCTTGTGAAATCTTTAGGTGACTTCAGCAGTAATAGTTTGTGGCTATATATTATTAACTGATTATTTCACATGTAAGTAAAAATCTCATCCGCTTTTTCACTTTATAATGGAATAGTTTTGAAATTCTGTATATTCTTGACTGTTTTTCCCCCCAGTGGTGCTAATAATAAAGCCCTAAAAGCTTGCCTGATAACTAATCTGTCTTCTTCTGACTTACTGTTTTCTGCTATTTTAAAGGATATGAGTAATTTTTTAGTGAACTAATAATAAGTACTGTAGTATCATTCATAGGACATAATTGCCAACATAGGAAAAGGCTACTACTGTGAATTGTTTTTAACAAAGTGAGGATAAAAAAGACTTTTCAGGGCGCCTGGGTGGCTCAGTCGTTAGGCGTCTGCCTTCGGCTCAGGTCATGATCCCAGGGTCCTGGGATCGAGCCCCACATTGGGCTCCCTGCTCCG